AGGCCTCCCCCCCTTCAGATCTATCATGTATTCGTGGTCCAGATTAACAATGGCATAGCTGATGGGGATGTATCAATAATATTATTAGTCCTCATTTATATGTACAACTTCAGTTTGTAGCTTTGAAGTTCCCCTAACTTTCCGTGTTGATAAAAGTGCACGAGGATTTTTAGTTGAAAACAACATTGTTAGTGTCTTAATATTCCAAATCCCGTATCACTGTATGAATCTGTCTGCTGTTATTGGAAGAAATTTGTGCCATTCTAAGGTTGGAGATCAAAGATTGGAGTTTGTTGTTAACTAAGGATCAGTAACGGCCTCCTATGATGTAGACAGGGAAGCAGTGCTCTTGGCTCATTTCAGCAAACCAAGATGATGGAGGTTTTTTCCTTTTGAGCTCCGTTGTTGCCCTTATTTAAAATACATATTTACAGTATCTTGTGCAGACTCTCCAAGTTTTTAGTAACATTTATTTTTTGCAATATTTGCCTTTCATGAAATGGTAATTCCAAGTATATCTCTAAAGGCCTGGCAAAGCATTTGAATGGATTGCATCAGCCATTGTGGAAGATTTCCCATTTTAGACCAGGAGGAATTTGTGGGGTCAAACGCTGAACAATGAAAGAGATTCTTGCTCATTTCAAGGCTGAGGAATCCAGTGGCAGTTGAGGGTTTGAATTGTAAATCAAGCCTGTCATCTCCTTGTCAACTAGGAAAAACCTCTACTCCCTTTATGCACTATTAGGGTTTGTTATTAGGGTTTTTGTTGTTTTCCAAAAATTTGAAGGGAAATTAGACTCATAAGGCATTTGTTCTAAGTGAGCACTGAATCTGAACTTTGGAGAAGAGGAACAAAAAACAGAACTATTTAGAAACCCTTAAATGATTAGACAGTGTCTGCCATAATTATGACTGTATCTAACCAAATTTATGGGGTCACTCAGTGTTTCTCAATGGGTGCTCTGTGGGGATCACAAGGAGCCAGCACATGGCTAATAGACTGGACTTCAGTGGCTTCACTGTCTATGGCAATATTAACAGACTGAATTTATAATGAATGAATACATTTACACGTGAAATTTAATGAAAACTAACCTCGTCTCGTCGTTTTCACCTAAAGCCATTTTGACTTTTTTTTTTTTTTTTCTTTCACGGACTCTGGTGAAATTTCTTCTCTGGTCATAACCGAGAATGGGGGGAATAAGTGGTCTGCACAACCTCCTGCCTTGCTGAAAACTTGGTTCTGGGCCAAAAAGTTTGAGAACCACTGCCTTAGGAGTGGAGAAAAGGCACGCTGTTTGGGGTGGTTTATTATGATGATTCAGGCTTCATTATCCATTCCACAAATATTTATTGAACGCCTACCATGTTAGCTCGATGCAGTGGAGCCTGGGGTATGGCAATTGCCAAACAAAACTTGGTTCATTAGAATGTCCCAGCTGGTAAAACAACAGAAGGGGAAAGAAGAGGATGAGGCCTGACTTCTGTGGCTAAAATCGTGTCTGAGTGATTTGCCCCACTTGATGGATGATACAAGAATATTTACAGGGCTTTAGTAGGAGTCTGTTGAGAGAATAGTTATTACACTCTTTGCTAGGAAAGAACTATAATAATAGGCCATAAAAAGAGGCCAATGGTCCTTCACTAATACATCAGACCAGATTGTACTAGTTGATAAAAGTAATGAAACCTGTGTGGTAGAGTGGTACCATTTAGAAAAACTATCACAAACACCCACACAGCAAGGAATGAGTAAGGGTGTGCTCTTTGCAGAGGGCTAAATGTGGGAACCGCAGTGCATCAAAATAAAGCGGTTGAGGTTCACACACACATATATACACACCCACTCGCCTCAGGCTTTATTAATCACTTAAGCCTATTTTATTTTAGCAACTGCCATTTTACCTTAGGACTTTTATTCCACCACTATGTTGCCAAAGCATTTGGCCCGTGGCATCCATAGCATATAGTAAATTGATACCGATTCGTTCGTGTTTAAAAAATATAATAGCAAAATGACAGTGGTCACTTGGCTGAATATATTGATGACTGAAATCTAATTGAAAGCAGACTGTGTTTCTCTGATTAGTCCTATTCCTCTAAATGTAATATCCATACTGTGAGGGCTCAATAAGACAGAGTAAATCTTTATGGCTGGAGCTTATTCTTTCCTCAAGCATCAACACCATAGTATAATTCGGTGGTATTTGCTACAGCTCATATGCACATTACACGTTGGTTACAGCACATGGTAACCAATAATTAAGATAAAGCAGCTAATGTTGATATCAAGCAGAATTGCTGAACTATTACCATTATAGACTTGAATTTATGGGGAAAGTCAGCATTTTAGTGAAGTAGGGTTTGGGGTAGAGTTGTGATTATGGTAGAAAAATACTTTCTTCCCACACTTACCTGGCAGGGCTTGGCCGATCTCTCGCCTCACTTCGGCTTTTTAATGAATCCCTTTTAACCTTCAGTCGTGGCACTTCCAATCTTGACCACTTCTATTAATTAGACATTAATCTAATTATTATCACTAATTATTACTTTTAGATGTACACCATAAATGGATTTATATGGAGCTTTTGCATTTTACTGTCAGGTCATCTTAATATTGGTTAGTCATGTTACTAATGCTGGCATTCTTTTGTTACCTTAGCAACTAAAGCTCTTATGTAGCATCCGAGAAAGACTCACCTTCTAGCAAATTCTCTTTTATAATAGGGAATAGTTAACGTTAGAGTGTGGTTCTAGTAACACTTGCTCACAGAACCTCCCCCACCCCACCTCCAAACACCACACACTTAAATACAAAGACCTTTCTCCATAATTCAGGCATGTCTTACAGGCCTCCTAACCGATCAGTGTGATATAGAAATGAAGGAACTGAAGATTATATTTATAGGCTTGTTGTAAAGGAGGGGAAATTGAGGCCCAAAGCAGTTAAGTGACCTGGCAGTAGTTAAGCTGATCATGGTCACAGAGACAGAGAAGTTCCAGGAAAGCTTTTAAAAATTTACTAGAAAAACAAGGCATATTTAATTAATGGATAACCCAATTACTCTGTTGTTTTTCTATCTTGGATCAAAACCAGTTTCTCACCCTTTATTTTGAGGCTTAGATGTAAGTCAGCCTTCACAGGGGAGAGGAGAGATGCTCTGTGATAAGTGATGGCAAAATCAAATGCATAATGAGATTTGAGAAGTTATTTTAATTGCTCATGACTTCCCTCAGACAAGGACAAGTGGAAAGCTTCTAAAGCTACTTGTGTTTTTTGCTTATTCTAAATATAATAAAGTAATTTACACAATATGCCTGATCCAGGAAAGCTGTAAAATTATGCTAAGTTACTGTGTTGGTAGGTGACCAGTGAGTGGGAAGTCATTCCAGACATGGAGGGGAAAGGGTAGTACTTAGTGAAAATTGTATAATGAGGAGGCAGCATGAAGAAGAGTTTGCGTGTGTAAATTTGTTTTGTTCTTTAAAATCTGACTAGGAGTGTTATCTAAGGCAAGTCTTTTTGCTTTGCATTTCAGGAAAGCGAAAGCATGCACCTATTCCCCAAAGAAGGTCGGTTAGTTAGTGTTTGGGGAAGGGTATAGTGACAGACAGAATACCGTTGGGGTTTTTTGCAAGATATAAAGCTTCCTTGGAGGAAGGGTACCTATTTCTTTCTTTCTTTTTTTAGGGTACCTATTTCTTGAGTAGAAGCAGAGTTCCCTCTTTCAAGGGTGAAGGTGACTTGGGATTCCTTTGGTATCACCTACAGGCATCATTTTAAGGAAGCAAATTCCTTCCTGTGCTTCAGAGATAAAGCAATCGGTTTTAGTCCCTTGATAGAGCCATGTCCCACCAGCAGCACATGTAGCTTATTTAAACTCAACTCTAAAATTGGCAAAAAGTATGATTTAGAAAATGGCTTAAATTGTGAAACTTAAATTTGCATAGTATTTTATGATGTTTTAAAAAATTTTTATGTAAAAAGTGTGAACATCTCTGGTGTAGTTTGAGAATGTAATAAACGCCTTTGTTTTGTCAAAAAAAAATTGTTTTATGTTACTGTGTAGGTTAGTAACCATGAAACTATGCGTATGTATTTATATCCGTTTTAGGGAGGATTTATAAAGGTAATTTTGATTACGCTCAATTTTTGCCTAATAAACTTACCTTAGAACCTAATCCCTACATAAGAACACACTAGAATGTAACATGTGACTGAGACCATAACATAAGCTTTCTCCCCACAAAGCTACCTTACTCCAGATAACTTCTGTCGATCAGATGGGCAATGGCCTTAATCTAGTATTAATTTCAAATTAGCCTGTCAAACTAAATTCACAAAATATCCAAGGTGATGTTTTCTGCATTTTCTTATTTCTGTTTATCCCTGCATAACTCGGATGATACTTTTTGTTGCGGCATCTGTGACTGCATGAAATGAAAAGGAATTGAAGACCATGGCTCACCACTGGGGGCATTTGCTAAGCTGGCTGCAGGGCTACTCTGCATCCTGTGGTCATCCTGAAGCTTGGCAGGGTGATCATGGCTGAATTACTTGACCGCTGCTCAGGGTTGGTCACCGCACTGGTGATAACCCTGTTTACTGCCCTCTCTCTCACTTTTCTAAGTAGCCAACTCCAAAGGACAGGTGTGAACTTTGCTTTGGCATTTTCTTGTGCAGGTGCAGTCTTACCGGGTAATAACACAGTCCAGGTGGTTTTCCAGAGACAGAATTTCTGCTGCAACAGCCCCATGGCATTTTTCTTCAAAGTACAATAAATATGCACTCAAGCAAACAATAGGAGCGCAGACTGCAGAAAGCTTAGTGAACTTCAGCAAGGCGGGACCTGTGTTTGTGTTAATGTTTATCTTGTCTAATTTGGGGATTGGCATAGAAAGGGGCTCCCAGCAATTGCCTTTCTCATGTTTCTTAGGTAGAAGCAGGAGATATTCATGGATTTCTGTTTTCCTTCCTCCCTCTCCCCCTGTCCCTACAGATTTATGAGGAATCCAAGATGAATTTGGAGCAGGAGAGGCCGTTTGTCTGCAGTGCCCCGGGCTGCTCTCAGGTGAGTGTGGGGATCCTTTGGTCTGTTCTGATGGGGATGTAGCTGCCTTTTGACAGGGAAACAGCTCTCACTTGGCCATCATGCCTGCTGTAGGCTTTCTTTCTTCACTAAGATATTGTCAAAGCCCCCTTCACCACCACCACCACCACCACCACCATCATCAACATCTTCCTCCTCATTATTGCTATTTTCTACTTTGAATAGTTTGAACTACTTCCCTCACAGCCCCTGAAATACATCAGCATTAGCCATTTCCATCCTTAACTTTCCCCCTGGAGGTAAGCCAGATGCATCCTGCCCACCAGATGTTCAGGACTGTTATTTCAGAAAGGGGAGGGAGGATGCTGCTTTTACAATAGTCACTTGATACGGGGCCTTTGAATTACTGGTGAAATAGCTCACCATCAGAGCTGAATTCTGTTTTCTTTTGTTTTCCTTTTTGAGTACAATAAGCCCCCTGTAGCTTTTCTAGAACCCACAGTTTTTTCATTTATCTAAACTTTAAGAGGGGAAGTTGGCATGCTGTGCTAGATTAAACCTCTTTGCCTCCAATGGCTCCCATCAAGTGGAATCATTGTGAGGATTAGATGAGATACTACATGTGTTTAGTATAAGGCCTGCACATAATAAATGCTCAGTTAATGTTCACCATTGTTACTATTACTGCTGCTGTAATTATGGACCGTGTGGCAGAATTTCCCAAGCTCAGCACTGTTAACACTTGGGACTGAATAATTCTTTGTTGTGAAGGGCTGTCCTGTGCATTACAGAATGTTTGGCAGCATCCCTGACCTCTACCTACTAGGTCCCAGTGGTCACTCCCCAGTTGTGAAAACCAAAAATGTCTCCAGGCATTGCTAAATGTCCCCTTGGGGGCCAAAATGGCCCCCAGTTGAGAATGACTGCCTGATGGTTTGCGTTTTGGCTTTAGCTTTGTTGTTGTTGTTGTTTTTTAATCCCTTCCCTTTTGGGGGTCCCCTAATTCTAGCTGATGCTCTCCCACTCCATTTTATGTGTTGCTGTAAGCTGTCTTTTCTCCTTTTTGGAATCAGGCAGGGTATAAATAAATAATGCCACAGACGTGTGGTCACTGGTGTCAGACGCTGCTAGAGCTGGGACAGTGAGAGGCTGAGCAGAGGCTGTTGGGTTTGGCAGTTGGGTTCTGGCGGGTGACCTATGAGAGAGGAGTCCGGGTGGGGGCCAGGTTGGAAGGAATTAATGAGTGAGTGGGTGGTGAGGAAGTGGAGGTGGCCAGCATAGAGGACTCTTTCAAGAGCGCTAGGGAATGACTGGAAACAGAGTGATATAATGGTAGCCTGAGAAGGAAGCAGCCCGAGAGAGCTTCTTTTAAGTGAAAGGCTAGCTGGGTGGGATTTAGTCAAGGGCAAGGAGAAGTGAGCATGTTGGATTGAAGAACCACAACTGAAGCGCCAACCCCCAGAAGACAAGGGTGTGGAAGGTCCCATGAGGGAGAAGGGGGTGCTATTCCTCTGAGGCAGGAAGGAATGGAAGTAACACTATGAAGTTACACGCAAATTCTAAGGTAGAGACGGTAGTGAAGGCTGGGGGACGCATTTCTAATGACCTTGAATTCAGGGAAGGAGCAGGTCATTTCCTTGAGAAGGCTGAGTGGACTGGTTGGACAAAATGAGAATTGAGGATTTCTGTAGTTTCTTGGTTTTAAGGTAAAACTCCAAGCCTTTCCCCTCAACCCCTTACAAAGCTGCATGTAAAACTTGATGTTTTTATTTAAGGTGAAAGTGTTTCTTTTTCTTGACAAGTTGTTTTAAAAATATGTGCATCTTTCAATTGAAGAGGTATTAGAAATGAGGAAATGTAGCAGTTGCCTAGTGATTCCAAGGGTTTCCTGGTGGGTGTTAGCAAATCACAGTCGAATCTGTTGTTGTGATCATGGCATTTACCGTAGTAATGAGCCTGGAGACCTGCATCCAGAAGAAAGGATGGCTGGGGATTGGAAAGGGGAGTAAATGTGAGTTATCAGTGCTTGTGCTACATTGGCAGTGATGGAAGGATGTTTCCCCCTTTTCCCTCATGGAAACAAGCTCTGCTCTATTAGGAATGGTCTATAATACCTGGGAGGTTTTTTTGTGTTACAGATCCTTATACATTAGCTTTGTCCCAGAAGTGAAGAGAAACAAGCCTCCCTTGCTCTTTCTGAGCTCAGAGTCCATTGTTAATTTCACAGCTCCTTTGCCCTCGACATGAACATGCTTTGAGTTCCAGGGGCCTCTCTCAGCTGGGTATCTGTCATAGACTGTACATTTTGGTTATTTACAATTTGCTGCTCTTTTCCTGCTAAATTAAAAAGGCCCCATGATGTCCCATATTGTCTCTTTGGGGAGGTATTTATAGTTAACATGACATATTATGGAAATTATTGTTATTTAATGAGTAATCTGGATAATATTCTATTTTAGGCTATTATTTTATGGAACCAAAAAATGGCTTACAAATACGAAATGTAGGATACTACCATGTTGTTTTTTGATTATATATATATCCCACTAAAAATTATAATATGGATTTTAATGGAAAGACTAAGAAGTTTAACCTATCTCTAAACCACATATGGTAGGGTCCCGTATTTGATATAGTCATTATAAGGTATGATAAAGGTTCAAGAGAATAGATGAAGCTGCAGCAAAAAGTCTTTATAAATCAGACTTCTGTGTAGTTAGTACTCTGACATAATTGCTGTGCTTTGCAGATTCTATATGCTCCAATTTATATGATACAAATGACAAATAACTAGGCGATATTTATTCCCAAAACTACTTTCAGAATATTCCAAAGGGTTTAGCCCAGTGAATTCCCTCATTCACATGAACACAAATCTGTACCATTTGCAGAGAAGATTTCTACCACAGTATACAATGGTAATTGAAACTTATAATGACTATCTTGAGGAACTGGGAAGCTCTGAGAGACTATCTAAATTGTCAAAGATTCAGAAATGTTCAGCAGAGTTTATTGTCTTTTGTTATGTTTTCATTTGACCTTGATAAAGCAGATGCTCTGTTAAGTTCAGTTATTAAAACATACCAGCCTGAGTCAGGAGAGGCTAGGATCTACTGCAATAACAAATCACCCCAAAGCTTCAAGGGCTTAAAACAACAAAAGGCTTATTTCAATCGCCTAAGCATACATTTCTACATTTCTGTTGTAGCTTGGCAGGACCTTCTTCATAATCCTCTAGAATTCGAAAATCCTTCAAAGATTTAGGATAATTGAGGGGTCACTATTTCTAATACTGTGAATTGCCGTGTTAAAAGGAAGAGGGTCTTATACCAGGAATTAGTTGCTGGCATGTGAGTGACCTGTCACTTCCATTCATGACTCCTAGGGTAGAACTGGTCTCATGGCCCCACCCAACCACAAAAGGGCCAGGAAATCCAATCCCATTGTGTGACCAGAAGCGAGACAGCTGAAAACATTCGAGAGCTGCATTTTTAACAACTGTAATATCACTCTTTGAAAATGAAAAATAAAGTGTTGGTTTACTACATTGTACAGAGTATAGAATACTAAAAATGACTTGTCATGTCACTATAAATCATCTATACACTTATAAAAGATCACATAATGAGCACAGTGTGCAAGGTCTTCATAAACAGAAACATACTATACAAATGTCACATGCACATTTGTAGGTGTTTATGTCAAACAGTTAAGCATGACATGTAATTCTTTCCCAGTGTCTGACATGAATCAAAATTCTTTTCCTGCTTCATGCATTTTTCCTACTTTTGGTTAATCTCTAGATAACGTCTAGCATACTTATTATGCCTTAGACTATTTTCTACTATTTTGTAGTATACTATTTTCTACTATTATGTAGAACGGTAACTGTTAGATAAAAGTTCCAAATAGTTTTGCAAAACTCCAGTGCTACTTAGGTCTAAGTTCATTTTTCTATTTTGGACATGTTTTCCTCTCATATATAGGTAGAAATAAGAGAATTTACTTTGTTATGCTGTCACTGTTAGTTTCTTTGTGAACATACATGAGCATTCATTCAATCACTCTTAATCTTTGAAGGTATAGCATATTTCTATTATATAGATTACTTGAATACTTTCAGCATTGTTCCTTTACCTCTTTCTCATTTATTCTTTAACCAAACACAAATTTAAGGTCTTCCCTCAGATGCAAACCTCTAGTTCCTAAGGAAATATCTAATTGACTGATGGGTCTTCACAGTTGATTATATTCAAAGACTATTTAGGAAGTAGAGGCCTTTAAAGGAATTCCCAGGGAAGGTGTAGGGAGTCAGAGATGATGGCAGGCAAAGGTCTCCTATTTCTTATTACTGTTCAGCCAGATTTTACTGCAACCTATTAAACCCCTGGTAAACTATAAAGGAAATAATGATGCATATATTTGGGTGCAGTTCAAAGGACTATCTCAGCACATTTGCTTGCAAAAAATAATTTGGCATTTAACTTAGTATGCTTTCACACTTTTTCAGAACTGATTTTTTGTTTTGCCTGTCACATGTACAATGCTGAATACATCTTTTTCTCTGTGATGGCAAATATATATTATAAAACTGAATGGCTCCTCTCCCCTCTCCCCCCCCTTTTTTTTCTATTTGTCTGACAGCGCTTCCCAACAGAGGACCATCTGATGATTCATAGGCACAAGCATGAAATGACTTTGAAGTTTCCCTCAATAAAAACAGACAATATGTTATCAGGTAAGGAGCCATCAGGCAAAAAGGCTTTGGGTGAACGGATCAGCCGCATGGGAGATACTTGTTCTTACGATAGGATGATTTCCATTGGCATATTCTGTGACTTGAAGACGTATATTTCTAAGGTACAGCAGAGACTTAAAATAATGGTAGGCAGAAATGTAATCAGCTAATGTGGTGTTCACTCAAATAACCAAAGAGCTGTGATTTCTCATTTTCAGGAATGTAAAATATTTATTACTATGGAAGTTGGCTCCATATAAGTATTTTTAAAAATCACATGCCTGTAATCGCTCAAGCAAAACATCTTCATTCAGTACCTACTATGCTGTTCTGAGTACCACAGGAGATGCTAAGATTGGTATGATTCCTGTTCTTGAGGACACCACACTATAGTGTACATGTGAAAATGTAGCTAAACTAGAGGACTGTCTAAGATATGTTTCACATGAGTATTGTAAGGAAAATGCTAGATGGCTTTAGTAGAAGGAGCTCTCTCTCTCTCTCTCTCTCTCTCCCTCTCTCTCATGGAGGTGATTAGTGAAATTTTTTTAAAGAAACAGCACCTTCCTCCTAAGTGAGAGATTAAATGAGATGATAATGCATGGAACCATAGCCCTTGCTCAGCAGATGTGAGCAGAAATAAATAAACATCACAATTAATCCATCAAGTAATTGCCATTCCTTCCCATTTTGATAGGTGGTGCAGTGAATTAAAACAGAGGGCAGGGCCAGGAGTGGGGAAACTTGAACTCTAGTGTGGGCTCTCTGCCAGATGACCTTGAGCCATGTTAGTGAACCCTTTTGGGCCTCAGTTCCTTTTTCTGTAAAATGGGAATGATTTTGTCTGCCCAGTTTATTCCATGGGCTCATTGTAAGGATCCAGTGAAAGAATGTAAGTGAAAGTGTTTCCTAATCCCTGGCAGGGTAACTGAAGCCTGTCCTGTTACCCTTCTTAGGCTAGAAATATTTCACTGAAGCCACTGTCTCCTTGGCATCACGAGAGAGATAATACTCCCATAAACATGCTTTAAATGATATCAGAAGAGAAATGGACTGCCCTGGCAGGCCCGGCTCATATAATTTAGCATTTCTATGGCACTTAAATTTTACAAGTATTTCATTATTCCTATTATTAGTAAATCCTGTAAGAGTGTTGTCAGGCAGGTTATTATTACAACTCATATTTTACTGATAGAGAAGAAGGGGCCAAAGGAGACGGAGCAGCTTTCCCAGGCTGACCACATAGGGCAAAGATGAGGGTCCTTGATGCTGAGTGCTAGCCCCCCGACTTGCACGGCAGCTGCATTGTCAGGCTTCAGCAGTTGACAGGCACGATCTCATACTCCTGGGGACCGAGCCATCCACACGTCTTCACAAACCCGCCCGTGACTTGTTAATGGTGCAGATGTGTTGTGGCTTGGAAGAATCTCTAGTTCAAAGGCAGCCTCTTTCCTTGCCTCCCCCGCCACCCAGCACCTCTCTCTCAGCCTGTTCGTTTTGATTGAACTAGTTGGCTCTTCAGAAGTAGTTTTATCTTCCCTTAAGTCGAGAAAGAGAGATGCAGAAACTTCAATCTGTAAGAATTATAAAAGCCCAGAAGGGTTAGGAAGGATGGTCTGTTCTTTTGGTTTTATCATTTAGTTTGTTCTGTCATTTATTATACGCTGTAACTTCATAGTTAAACAATGAGCAGATATGTATGCAAGTAGCAGGGTTCCCAGTATTTCGATTTATAAGTTCGCCTTTTATTTTTCCCAAATCAAATTCCGAAAATAGGCTCCTTGGTGGTAGGAGAGTGGGAGGTGGGTGTTAAATGATGTGGAGATATTACTGCTTAGTGGTAAATACCAGGTAGTATCTTTCAGGGACACGGCTGGGATGGCCCTACAGGGAGCCCCATTCAAAGGTCTGAAAAAAAGGAATTCAGGATGCGTGAACACTTCTATATGTTGCCTATAAACAGGCTTTTGATTAAGCTCTTGCAGCTTTTCAGTTGTTCTCACCAGATTGTTGTTAGCTTGAGGCCCCTGCTGCCAATAATTGGCAGTGCCAGGTGGAAAGTTACTGAGAGGAAAGGCTCTCTAATTTTTATTATGTCAAACTTGGAATAAGAAAATGAAGGGAGAAATAAATATGAGGGAAAATAGCATGAATAAAATATTGGCGTATTTTCTTCTGCTTTCTCAGGGTTTGTGTTGAAGCTAGTATGAGGCCATTTCTTACTCCAAGTGAGATTAGGTGCTATGTTTTAAACTTACTATCCACTTCACATGCTTGCCGTGTCACAGAATTTTCTTGTTGGAACAGAAACTGAGCTATCCAGTTTAGCTCATTACTTTGCATTTAGGGGACTGAGGTCCACTATATGTCATAGGCCAGTGTTGTCCGCACTGCATTCTAATAGGCTGTCTGTTGGGTATTTTTGCTTTGTTGTTGTTGTTTTTTTTTTTCCCCAAGAAAGACTTAGATGTATTTATCTCAAACCTCATGTTAGTTTTAACATATTAGATTGTGATTGCAAATGTGACTGAAGTTTTACTTGTCTTATATCTTGATTTATTTAGATTTGAATTTATCAAAGACTCCAAAGTCTACTAAAATATCTGTTAGAATTTTATTTCTGAATGTACCTTAAGCTTATTTTGTGGCCTATCTTTAGGATGAATGATTTCCTACAGCTTGAGAGATAGTAACAGAAATAATAAAAATTGCATGAATTAAATCTGAAATCAGCACTCATCAGCAGGGCAAAAATCTTCAAGCCCCTCTTGGGCCACTTTTTTTTTTTTTTCAAGCAATATTCAATTACACAAAATTTAATTCCAGACGCACTGGAGTTTGACACATATTGTGAAGAGGAAATACGGTAGGTGTGTTCATTACTAATTTCAGGATATCTGGTTAACTTGTATTTTGGAAAATTACTTCGTCCTACATTAATTGCAAATATTACAGTCAGGGAAATTATTAAGATGCCAGAGATAGACTTTTCGAAGGTAAGTGTCCAAAGAGTTGTAAGATCTGAAATAATTTCCTAGCTTTGCCATAAAGTCCATTTTATTTAGACCAGGTACAATTTATAACTCAAAATGATCGTAAATGATCTTTGACATGCCATAAGGCAGAGTAGTAAAAGTGACAGTCATGATGTTTTAAGATGAGTCTGCTCTTATGGATAGACAGTAAAATAAAACCTCATTCCAAAGGGACAGTACTAATTGGGACATGAATGAGGTGGTGATGGTGGATTCTGAGGGCAAAGACTTCTAGCCCCTCCCACCTTGGTCCTTCCATTCTTATTTGGTCCTGGTGGTACATTTCCAGAGTCCCAATATGGTGATGGACTTGAGTCTTTCCCTTCAGCTGTTCTTGTTGTGATTGAAGATAATTTCATGGTGAGGGAAGTTGTGATATCAGAGGTTTTAGGTGCCAAGTTTGAAATGGGAACCCATTGAGGACAATATACTTTCACACACAGATTGCAAAATTATCAGCTATTATATGACAAAAGATCTGTTTGGTTTGAAAAGTATGATCAAATTTTAGTATTAGAGTTAAAGCGTGTGGTGTTTGGGTCTATTTTAATGGTATTATGGCTAGGTATTCAGGGATTCCCACATCTTGCCCTGTGAGAAATCCCCACCCCCACTTATTGACACACTTCCCAGTTTCTGTACAGGAAAAAAACAGAATGGGAATCAAAGTGCAGTTTTATTTATAGCCAGACAAGCAAATAATCCAAATGAGAAAAATGTGTGTGCGTGTATGTGTGTTGGGGGTGTATGGTGGAAATATTGACCTAGAAGATGATGAATTTTGCTTCATGAAAAGGAAGTGAGGTTCAAGAGTGTTGCGCACCTTTCCTCAAAAGGTAAAACCCAATCATCACCTCAGGTGGGAAGCCTGAGAAGGAGATGCATGAAACCATGCCTTCAGATGCCTAATAATTCACACCAGACATCACAGCCCGATTAATGCTGAAGGCAACTGGTGTGTGCTTGGAGGGAAATGAGGACAGGCACCAGCCGAGGTGTGGGAAGAGGGGCTGCAGTTGCCCCTCTTGACAACATAGTCCCTCAGAACCCAACTGTGTCCCTGGATTAAGTCTAGAATTAGGGATTTTCTCTAGTTCCAGGCTCTAAACCTAATTCTCGCCATGGAGAGAGCAAGAATGTTGTTCGATGGAGTAGAACCTTTTTTTTCAAGAGATTGATCATGATTAATCAGATAATCTCAGAACCCAGAGCCATTAGCTCATGGCTATTTGCTACAAACCTACTTAATAATCCATGGACATTCTATTTTTTGATTGTTTTATCATTTTTTATTTTTTTAGAGAGAGAGGGCAGGGAGGAGCAGAGGGAGAAGGAGAGAGCCCCTGACATAAGGCTTGATCTCACAACCTGAGATCATGACCTGAGCTGAAACTGAATTGGATACTTAACCAACTGAACCACCCAGATGCCCCTAATCTGTGGGCATTTTAAAGGGGAAGTCAGAGAAAAGGTGACATATCTCACTCCACATTATTTTTGGAATATATATATATATATATATATATATATATATATATATATATTCTGACTGAATAAGTAAATCTCTCTCTCTCTCTCTCACTCACACTCACACACACACACACACACACACACACACATATACAGGGACCATATTTACCTCCTCTTCCATTGATGGCGAAAGTATACAGTAACTTCTCACTATTGAAATTAGTCAGGTCTTTATGGAACAGAGGGTGGTGGAAATGGCATGCACCAGGGTGCAGCATGATAATAACAGTAGCTACCATTTATTGCCTTATCTTATGCCTATAATTGTGCCTCCTGTTTTATATACATTATGTCATTTAATCCTGGCCACTCTTTTCATATGAGGAAACAAGATCGTGAGGATAAACAGTTTGTCCAAAGCTCCTGTCTGTCTATAATTTTCAGCTCCATGTACTGAGATTTGGTCAGCTCCATGTACTGAGAACATGTCTTGGT